CTACGTCCAGATGAACAGAATCAACTTTTGGAGATTTATTTTCCTGGATGATTGAGAATGCATCAAGAAGATTTTTTACACTAATTTTAATTGGTATCCCTGGGCACTTTCTTGCTGTTTCTTTATCTGAATTTGTTCCCATCTATTCAGCTGAATATAAAGCCAGCAATAAATGTGAAATTTGACAGGCAGGAAAGCTTTTTACAAGAAAACTTGACTTTACAATTTTGTTGAAGAATAAAGGTGGTCATACCAAATCCTGACTTTATTCAAATAAAATATAAAAAAAACCCCAACAACAAATATAAATCTAAAGAAATGGTCAGTGACAACATTTCAAACTTGCACTGCAGGAATCTACCCTACATCTTGACCTCCTTCATTAAATACAAAGTAAATGTGTCTCTGGTTCGACCCCTGGCTGGTGTGTGAATGAGGCATGTTGTATAAAGTGAGTGTAGAGTACAACAGTGTTCTATAAGAACCCGCCCATATTTTAGGCCTCCTGTGTGCTTAAAGCAGCACACATACTGATGGCAAGATTTAGTTTCCCTGACATAAAGAAAAATGTTATAACATGACCTTAAATCTGAATATAAGTAGTGATTATGTTACGTGCCTCAACTCCGGCAGACAGATACTCCTGTAGCCCATTACATGACAAATTTAGAAAAGATGTTCCGACTTACAGAGTAATTCTATGTCACAGGTTGTAAGAGGAGACTCAATATATGTCTAAGCAGTTACAGTGAAATCACATGAAATCGAGCATTATTTAATGACATGGGGTAGAGATTAGGTCTCAGCACAGTGAGGACAGCAGACACTTCTCATCTTCTGCTCTAAGTTGTGGATAATGAGCTCTACAGCATTCACACACACTGCAGCATACAGCTGAATCATCATCTAAAAGTATGGGACTTGGAGCTGGATGATGACATTAATATATTATCAGGAAGTCAAGTACATTTTTTTTCCCTTCCCACTTCCTTATTGAGTTTCCATGCCTGTCCGAGTGAAGCAGAATACTGAATCATTGGAGCCTTCCCCGACCAGGAAGTTATCGCACTAATGAACTTAAGCTGTGGGAGATGTGGGAGAGTGAACTAAGGTAACACTGGACCACTGCTAACATTTCATTTAAACTGGACATATACATGTATTAGGCACAGTTACACAGTTATTTACAACACTAGCT